ACTGTGCCTTTGCATGTTTAGGCCAGGTTGTCTTTGTTTTTGCCATGAAACAGTCTTCTGTAGTTAGAAGAGCATGCTAACCCAACCGTGCACATCTGCCTCTTGAGCCAGGACAGCATTTTTCAATCTCTCCTTCCATCTTGGTTTCAGAGTAAATGAACCTGCATGAGCATTAAGCCCGCTGCCTGAAGCAGGCAGCTGAGAAATCATTAATGGCAACTCACAACTGCTTTGTCAGCTTTAAGTAGCTTCTTCACTGAGAATACAGCGAACACAAAACCAAACGCTCTGTTACGAGCGTTATTGTAACACAAGTTACAATTACGAATTGTGCAAGCTTGTATTTACTTTTCAGGCTAGTAAAAAAACCACAGAACAATTTTTTACATAGCTTCAAATCCAAATCTCAATTGTTTCTACACAAGAAGCTTACATTCCTTGGTGAGATTAGCCTGTGTCTGAAAGCAAGCCTTACAGAAAGGGCTCTGTATGCAGTTTAACTCATTTACTACAGAAAATATTGAGCACCAGTACTGGAAAAGAAATCCTCTGCTCATTAACTAGAGACTGCTTCCATTTCTAGAAGTTCTTTTCCAATGAATAATCTTCCTAATTTATTTTCTTATCATCGGCAGCCTATTACAGATGCTGGAGCATCCAAATACAGCGTAAAGTGTGAACTGAAGTCTCTGACAGTGATGGGGAACAGAAGGAGAAATGGGATGTAGTTCAACATCACAGTATTTTTTACGTTGTCTATGGAGAAAGCATATGCTTAAAAACATCTAAATTGAGAGACAGCAAATTAGGGTAATCACATCTTCCACAGTTAGAAATTTACTGGTTTTGCCAATTTATGCATGTAGCAGATTGCAGATGCTGCATTTCAATCAAAGGCAGGCAGAATGACATGGATTTTCCCAATTTCTCAACAGGAGAACCAAGTCACAAGACAACACACTGATGAGCCCATGACAAAACCAGACTGGGGATGCACTCATTCGAAGAAGGCTGTCCTGTCTCTGCCAGCTGAGGCTTCCCAGGAAGACTGTCATTCTGCCTCCCTCTTCTCATCACATCAGGATGAACAGCCTTTTCTCAAGCATTACTGTATCTGTTACACAATCTGCTGTAACTTCAAGGCTGAAATTAATTCAGAAACAGAGTCCAATTAACTGTGTACAAAGACAATTTGAAGTTTTGTTTCCATTTAGAAAGACTGGTATCAGCTGTCCCAACTACATTATTTTCTTCTGTAACTCTGATACAGATGTTCTGAATTGCTCCACCTCCTTAAACACTCAAATACTTCACAATTAGTTGAATTGTGGATGTGAGTCATCTAATTTCCTTTTCCAGTAAGGGTCACTATTGGAAAATTGGCATACCAAGGCTAAATAACCATGTTACCAGTGCAAATTTTGACAACTGTTCCAGTGAATCAGTGCTCTGCTTTTTGCACTGGTTCTTAAAGCAATACTACTACGTACTGCAGAATGAAAGGGGAAAAACAACTAAATTAAACTTACTACTCACAATCCATCTTTGAAACCAGAGCAAAACAGGGGAAAATTCAGTAATCCAATTAAAAGGGGGGGGGGGGGGGGAGAAACCAGCAAGATTCATTTTACAATCAATACTCGTAGTAAATCCTTGCTACAATGCATTCACTAGCAGCAAAAATTGTAAAAATTGTGTATGGTCATTTTACATTCAAGGAAAAATGGTGGCAAATTTAACAAGGTTAGTGGTATGAAACCTATGCCTACACTCTGACCTAAAGATCCAAATGATCTTTAAGGCTTGATCAACAGTGGAAAAAGCCTCAATCTGAGTTAATGCCTACTTTTATACTTTTCCTGAAATGCTTACATTTGCTTCCAAATGCAAGTGTTCTGGGAAGCACAATGCTTCCAAGCACTTGAAAGTACATTATTAAGACGCTCCAAAGGAATGTCATTTATTGTCTTTAAAATGTCCAAAAGAAGATTATAGGACATGAACTGCCTGCACTGTGCGCTGCACTTAATAGGGTTGCCCAAAGCGTCTCGCACCCCTGCCTCAACAGCACTTGATACTCAATATTAAATACTGAAAGATATTAACATTAAAGGATACTAATAAAAAGAAACCTACTAAAAACCTGGTGCTTTGTTTGTACTTCTGCAGAAGACCTCAGAATAAACACAGCAAAAAAAGCAAAAGCACAAGCAAACTAAAAACTCAGCTAGACAAGACTAGGAAGAACATACATACCACCACTAACCCTTCCCTAACACTGTCCCGTAGAATTAGAGAGTAACTGTGGCAGGTTTTCCAAGCAGGGAGAAGAGAGACCCCAGCTCACTCAGCCCAGTGGCAAGTCCACACGCAGTTTGTGACAAACCCTCAGAGAGGTGAAATTCTCTTAAAAAGTCAGGATTTATGAGCAAGGCGAGAGAGAATAGTAACTTGATCTAGGAATAAGCCCGATGCGAGAATGAGGAACTAAATGCTTCCTGACCCTTTAATGCCAGGAAACCATCACCTCCTTTTTTGAAGGGCAGTGTCAAAGGTAGTATTTGCAACTCATGAGAAAGAACAGGGCACTAAAGGAAGTTGCCCTTTGTTGCCTCTCCTCCTATTATAAACTGTTCAAAGACTATGCTCACCTTGCTGGGAGATACAAAGAAATATCTCAACTGACATCAGCCCTCCTCTCCACACAGTGAAGTATTAAATAAACATAGTCATCAAGAAACAATGTAAAACTTGTCTTTTAAAAGAAATTAGAGTGGAGCAAGAGGGTGGAGTATACCTTGCAGGCAGAAACCAGGGACAACTCTTCCAGAAGGAATACAGCTTACTGCGTGGTTAAAAAACAAAAACCCACCCAAAAACCCCAGCACACACCACACAAAAACCTGGGCAGAGTCTGTAATGAAACAGAAACCTACTCCGTGTCCCACTGACTGCAGTCACAGAAAGTCCTACTCACTTCCATTCCCGATGTTGAAACACCCTAAATCGGACACCCAAAGTCATTAGCCACTTTGGAAAGTTATGGGCTGTGGTTTTCCTCTGGAGTTACAACCGGGTGGCTTTTCAAGGGTGATATTTCTGTGAATAATTACCATCTTTCTATTAAAATTGCCTAACCAGAAAGTAAGCTTGATGTTAAGTCTGTGCAAAGGCCTAACACATTAATTTTTCAAAGCTGTAAAAAAGGAAAAAAGAGAAGTCACTAATGACCCATTTTCTCAAGGTGAGACATCAATGATTCTCTTTTTAGATATTCCATAGTTAAAAACAAAGATAATTAAAGCAACTTAGCTGCTACTTCCTAAATGTTTTCTGTCATTTACAAATGCAAGGTTACAATTCCTTTAGCAATTGTGCTGGGCTTTTTTGGTTTTGTTTGTTTTTTAGAAGACTATATTCTTTCATTTTCTGTACTTTTCAGTAACTGTGCTTGTCGGCATGGAAAAAAAGGTATTTATTACATTGTTTATATTTAACCTTTATTACTCCAACAGATTCAATATCTCTGCAGCCCCAAAGATGTGGAAGTTTTTTTTCTGTCTTTCAACTAAAAATGCATCAAGAGTGAACACTGACTGCAAGATGAGGCTCACACCTGCTTTACTTGAACCACGCATTTGAAGATAGGCAAGACGGGTCCATCAGCCTAGCAGAGAAGAAGGGGCATCCCTCCTCCAAAACATTTGTTACGTCAAGCCTTTCCTTGTGGAAGACTACTGGGTCAAGAGACCAGGGATGCAAGACATCCATTTACGCTCTCCGCATCCACGTCCTGGCGCATACCACGGCAGCGCTACCATTCGGTGCCTCTAGCGAGGCTTCCTTCCTACCGCGTATAGAACGCAGAAAGGTACGCCTATGGGTTATACAACGCGGGGTGCTCCACTCAGCTACGCCAGAGAACGAGCACGGCCCCCGGTACCCGCCGCACCATGCCATTCCCGGGCGGCGGGG